TGTTACCCGACCCCAAGGTAACTGGTAAGGTGATCTGACCTTCCGCTTCTATGCTAGCTCCAGTGAAGCCTGACAATGGAGTTTGCAACGGTCTCAACATGGACCTGTCCAGCTTCAATTTCTTGAAAGCATCCAAGTATAGAACATTGACACTGCTTCCTGTGTCAACCAGGACCCTGGCCACATCAGCTCCATTGATGTCCATTGTAATAACCAAAGGGTCATTATGATCTCCCCCCGTCCTGGGCAGATCCCTATCAGTGAAAGTGATAGGTTCCCTCCTTGCCTGCTTCCCATGTGACTCCAGGGAAACCACCGCCACGTGCAAACTCCTGGCCCAATTCTTCCGCTGGGAGGCAGTATCCCCGCCTTCCGGACCGCCGACAATCATCTGTATAAATTCTTTATCCGGATTGTTGTTATCCTTCCCGGATTTTCTCCTTCCCTGGTCTTTTCCCTGATGACGGGTCCAGGTGTTTGCTTTCGGGTCCTTCTTATTACCCGTCACGTAACCTTCCCCAAGCTCTCCTCTCAAGGCCATCTCCTTGAGCACAGCCTTGACATTTCGACAATCCACCGTATTGTGGGAATCAGATTGGTGGTAGGTACACCACTTCTCCGTCCAAGGCCTCTTGGGTTGTTCTCCCTTCTTATCATCCCTTATTTGATGGACAGACCCGTCATACGTAGCCTTTAGTTTGGACCCTCCCATCTGGTCGTCCTTCTTCGGCTTGTCGGATCTCACCTTCGTATATCCTTCCTCTAATTCCCGTTTGCTCTTATTCAAGACCTCCGCGTCGGCATACTCCCATGCCGTATTGTAGGCTTCCTGATAAGAGGAGGGTGGCCTCCTACAGAATTCGGTGTAGAGGTCACCCGACCGGAAGGCATTCATCAATAAAGACATGGCCGTCTTATCGTCCATCTCTTCTACCTTGTCAACCTCATCCCTCCAGCGGGTTAAGAATTGCGTCAAGGTCTCCTTCTCCCTCTGCCCTACCGTGTTAAGGTAGGTAAACTTCTTCCTCTTGATGCAGTTGTCCTGGTACTTCTTGCGGAAAACCTCAGCAAGTTTTTCAAAGGACCCTATCCTGCCATGGGGAAGACCGTTAAACCATTCCACTGGCCTCCCTCTCAAGGATGAGAAGAAGAGCAGGCATTCCTCAGCATCAGTGCACCCGGCCATCTGTGCTGCATTGTGGAAGGTGTCAAGGTGGACGTTTGGATCCTCCTTTCCAGCTTGACCTTACGCCTCAACTTTTGTGCGTGTACCCTAGCCGAAAAGGGTGATTTGGCCAGGGTGTGCTTCTTTGCTCCCGCCTTCTCGTCCACCTTTTCTTCCCGGGCACGCAGCTTTCTTGCTACGCTTCCTATCTTGTCCAGATCATCCTCATCATATGAGAGCCTGGTATATGCCGACGCCCTGGGCTGGCTTTCTGCTTCCTCCTCGTCTTGGCGAATCGTCTCAGATTCCCTAGAACGACGAGATTGGGCGTGACGACTCCCGCCAAGTCTTTCCATCGCGCTAGTCCGGCCCATCTCAAGACCAAGACGTAGCTTGGCAGACTTGCGGGGTCCATCCTCTTTGTCCCCTAGGCGTTTGAAAGCCGAATCTCGGGTCTTGCTGGGTTTGGCTATAGCCTTACCCTTCCTCCTGCGGGCCGCCTCTTGCTCCACCTCATCGACCTCATGGACATTTGAGGGTGCTGCTTCATTCATGGTCCCCGTCAAATTCACCGGATGTATAGGGACCATCCTAGGGACAAATGTCGACGGGGTCGACACCGGAGGTGGCATGATTGGTGGCGTCATGCCGGGATAGGCAAATGGCATGAAGCCACCTGCCTGTTGCATCATGGCCATCACCTGTTGATAGCCCTGTAGAGCCTGAGCATTTGCCGGGTCAGCAGCAAATTGAGCCCAAGCTGACGGGTATGGTGTGAATGCTCCACCAGGTGTTGTTATCGAGCCTGGGAACATTGTTGTCGTTGGCGTAGGAGTTGGGGTTGACATGATTGGGATCATGCCAATCGATCCTACAGTGGTGATCGGAGCAAAGGTCGTCCCCATGCTCGACATCATCAATGGGATGGCAGGAGTGCTTTCACTCGCAGCCTGGCTTGACATGGCATTGTAGTTGCTCGAAGACATGATTGTGGATATTTAGTGGGGGTAAAGTTTTGACCTGGTCGAAAAAACTTTAAAAATCGGCCCCACGGTGGGCGCCAAAAAATGATGGTGTAAATATAGCGGGGTGGGTTAACCGGGTTTGACCTGGACACACTCGACCCGTAATATAAAACACACAACAAGAACACAAAGTATGACCTAGACCGGGTAAATCTCCTCAGTCCGAATTATATTTCTTACTCTATCTCAAGAGTGAACTTTAGTGAGAGAAAAATTGGATCCCCTCCTCTATCCAATATCATCATATTTATAGAGGAGGATTTGTGACCTTCCCCTGTTCATCCATGGACAAAATAAGAAGCTCGTGGGAAGGTCACTGTAGATAATGGGAACACTGTACAATCATAGAATTTAGCAACTATAGGCCAAGACATGTACTGTTCAATCAAAGACTAAAATGGATATTCTCAATCCAATCAACCCTGCAAAATGACAAACATCCCTT